AACAAAGGTAAATGTGGGTAATTTTTAAAGATTGCTTTATAATCGCAATTATGTCATGATTGCTTTATTGGGGCAGAGCTGTTCATCCGTTACCCTTGGTAGTCTTTCTTTCTCTTCTTTTGTTCTTTATTTCCTTTTTAAGACAGCAAGATCAATTTCAAAAAGCTTTTGCCATAATTTATAATAGAAATACAAGAGCAGTAAAGAAAAACACCCTTCACAAAATACAAACAATCGCACCAGAATGGGAGGGGAGCAGCGGTTTATGTCAAAAGTTCTTAGGTAGAAAAAGGTATTGCAATCAAGCAAAAGCGTAGGGCAGACCTAGGCCTTTGCCTTGGTCTTTGGTTTCTCTCCTTCTGAGAAAGGAACTGACTGGTATTTTGTAATTGGCAGGCAACGTGCCAACCTGATAAGCATATCGCTGACCTTGCCGTCTCCTCTAACAACTGTATTGAATAGACCGACCTCCAAAGAACAACGTTTCTCTTTGACCTCCTCCTCCAAACGTGTTCCTAAGATCGCCCTTTCCCAGTCGTTGATGACATTATAGATTCCATAGCTTCTAAGAATGGTCTCATTCTCAAACTTTCAAGAATGTAAATCAGACGCCATTAAAATCTCCTCTTCCTCTATCTTCGGCCTGACACAGAGGTTGGGGACTCTCAGGGAAGAAGGTTAAGGTCAGTTCTTTAGTTCCCCGCCGGGTACTCTCCAGTCTCCCCAAGGGCAACGTCGCTGTTGTAATCTGGCGGTCGCTGCCCTCTATCTATGCGGAAGGAGTCCCACCGCAGCGCTTCAGAATCCGGAGGCCCTGTCGTTCTCGGTGCTTCCTTGGTAGGCGCGGCTCTGATCTGCTGAGCTGCACTCAGTTCTCGCCCCACTGTGGAACACCCATAGCTTCTTTCAAGTCTTCTCAAAACCAGAAGGATCAGGGCTGATGTAAGCCGACCCACCGCAGAGAACACAACCCGTAGGTGAAACTCCGGAGAAAGGGCCCAGTTTCTCAGGAGAAGCACACGAAGCTCAAGCTGCCAGCCCTTCTTTGCGTTTCCAGTAGTGCACAGTCCATTGACTGAATGAATGACACCCACCTGTAATTTCAAATCCCCAAATTTAGGGTTACTACTCATCATCCCATTTCATAATCATCATCGCCATTTGGTAGTAATTGAATTTCCCGTGTGTTGAAAACTGTATTGTAAAGGCAGAGGAAAAAGACAGAGAGATTTAATAACGGGAAAGAACTAACATCGGTGCCAAGTGAGCAATGGAGACAGACGGCAGCTGTAACATGAAGAGGAGCCGCCTGGAGGGGCAGAAGGCAAGGAGGGGCTGGCGTTCCTGCACGCACCTGGGCTGGCACCAGCTCAGAATGGGAGGACAGAACTCAGTCAATGGTCATGAAGTAGGTAAAACAGAGAAAGGCAAATGGCATGAACAAATGAGGGAAGCATTTGTCCAGTGCACGGATGTGTCCTTTTGCAAATGCAAATATCCCATGCGCGGACATTCAGGAAACTTGAGGAGATGTGTCCAGTGCAAACGGTTGTTGGGTTTATGCTGGAGAGTATGGAGAGTTAAAACTGGGAGGGTGGCGCAGAGTCAGGGCTTCTAAAGTTTTGCATGTCAATCTCACAAATAGGCAAAAAGAGACGTTAAAATTTATGAACCTATGTATCTCACATAGTAGGAATGGGGCAGGGTAGGAAAAATACTACTCAGTGAACAAATTCTTTGGAGTGCCTGATTCGGAATAGACTCTATCTCAGCTGTGGTCAGGAATTCACCACTGTTGCCAGCTTCCTCTGCATCCCCAGGGCTTCATTAGTTCATAGGACATCATCTGAAGGGTGGAGGATCTACTTTACAGTTTGGGGGATATAGAGGGTGTGTGTCTGTGTACAGCCACCAGGCTATAGCACCTACAGGCTCCTCTAAAATTACTGCCACCACCTATGGGCTTCTAAACATTTGCTCCTAAAACCCAGGGACACAACTTTTAAAATTCTCTGTTCCATTAAAATTTATCCCTTGGTTTCCTTTCCCTTTTCACTGACTGTAGGTTTGGAATTAACCAGTAATGCGAATTTAGGTAAATAAATCCAATAAATAATTTGATTTTATTAGGGCTGTTTTCTAGCCAGTTTGGATTGAGTAATCTTGATTTGTTCTTTCAGTTAAAACTGAAAAAAAATATATAAACTCTCTTTGTGAATGATTAGGTGCCATAACTATAAAGGGAGGGTCATTATTTATGGTTTGTATTTTATTTTTTCTAACTTCTGTATGCCCTCAGCCTCTTCTGATACCCCCACTTCATGCATATATTTCCTGGATAGGCTTTCTATTGCACTTTACTCTAAAGAAGACAGTCAGAGCGCTAAAAATACTGAACAGCTTCTGGAGTAGTGTCTGTATGATAGCAGAGGTGGGTGTTCTTTTTTTCCTGTTCCCTATTTCTACACACATGAACTTTCTAGTTGGTTTGAGGTTTTTTTCTACATGAGGTAGAAACAGTTTCTATTTCTTTCAGTTCTCTGAAATTTTAAAACAAGCAAGACCTCATATGGATGTGGATACAAACCACAAATAGCATTAGAATCCAAATTTCATGGGCTCCTGTCCAAACTTTTCCGGCAGGGTCCCAAACCCTTTTGCAATTTACCTCCTAAGAATTCCTGGGAATCCCTAGTCAGATAGAACAATGCCAATATTTACCTTTTCTTCCCCCTTTTACTGCCCAGTCCCAGATTAATAGGGCTCTGTTTCCCAGACATTCCAAGTTCCATCCTTGCTTCTACTGTAGTTGAACCACGGGAGCTTGGGAGATGGCAAGGCTGCTCAGCGAGCTGCTGTGGAGTGGACATCGCTCTCTTTCTGCGCAGCAGCAGGGCTGCTGCTGGGAGCTGAGTGATGCAGAGTCTTGGGGAAAGTAGTCTTTACGTTTTTACTTGTATATTACATCCTCGGTTTCAAATATGACTTAGACTTGGAGAACCAATCAGATTGATAGACCTAAGACCAGAGCAGAATTTCCATTCCTTTCCAGGGACTAAAGCTTTCTTCCACAGTCAGGCTTCAGATCTTTGCATTTTTTACACTTAAGATGGTCTCTTTCAGATGGTGTTTTGGTCTTCTCAAGGCAGAACCAGAGTTTCAGTCCATTGGGCATGCCCAATATATAGTCTCGAGGTTGGAAAACATTATATTCTTTTTTTTTTAAGGAGCATGGAGAAACTGAAAGGAAGGGTGGGGGGCGGACAGGCAGTGGGGAACACACCCACTTCCTCTCTGCCTGGCTTCACCTCCAGAGTGGCTGTGGGTGCGCCGCCGCCCGCAGGGGCTGCCAAAGGCTTTTCCTCTTTCCCCTTGGCTCCGGGCTCGCCGCCACTGCCTTGGCCGTAATCTCCCAGGAGCCTATAGAAATCTCAAAACATTAAATTTTTAATCCCTGGTATCAGAATCCTGTAAGAGATGAACCTGGCTTTGGGAAAAATACCTTGATAAATGCCTGGTAGATGAAGACCTGGGGTAGACAAAAAGGCCTTGGAGTTGGCCATTACCAAGATACTTGGTTGCTAGTGGATGTTGGTGAAGATGAGAGAAATGAGAGGGAATAAGAGGGAAAAGAGACAGGGTGAGATGGGGCTCTGCAAAGGAATCTGTCAGATGAAGAGGTAAAAAAGATATCTAGAGAATGAGAACAACTTATAGGTAATTTTAAATTGATTACTGTTTGTTTTTGTATTCTTATTCATTTGGGGAGGGTTTTGGACTATCACAGAGCACAGAATAAAAGAGTATAGAAAATTTAAGCCAATATCATTCAGATGTTATGAAGTAAGAGGGTTTTCCAGCTGGCATTTGGGTTATACATCGCCAAAACCCAGCTATGCCTCAATATTGGAACCTGTCTAGAAAGTTTGCTGCAACTTACAGTTCAATAAAAGGCAAGATAGAGCCAGTGGAAACCGTGTGTAGTTGACACAATTAAATCATCAATATTTGGAGACTATTAAGCATGACCTTCTATTGGATAGGTGGCACTACTATTCTGGGGAAAAGTATAATATCTTGGCAAATGAAAATGAAAGAAGAGTTAAATTTTGACTTGCAGTTTGAAGCAAGAAAGACTGTAGTTGGAAGAGAATGAAATAAAAACATTGTATTACAGGGTAAAAGTCTAGAGGCAAGAAGCAGCAGCAGGAAAGAGAGAAAGAGAGAAGTGGTCAGACTTTTTTTTTTTTTGAGACAGAGCCTCAAGCTGTTACCCTGAGTATAGGTACCGTGGTGTCACAGTTCACAGCAACCTCCAACTCTTGGGCTTAAGCGATTCTCTTGCCTCCGCCTCCCAAGTAGCTGAGACTATAGGCATCCGCCACAATGCCCAGCTATTTTTGGTTGTACTTGTCATTGTTGTTTGGCAGGCCCGAGCTGGATTCGAACCTGCCAGCTCTGATGCATGTGGCTGGCGCCTTAGCCACTTGAGCTACAAGTGCCGAACTTAGATTTCTTGATTAAAGGTAAAGAAGTGAATTGGTGGCTTGGCGTGGGGAGTGTTCAGGGAATGAGCAATGAATTCTTGTGGAAAGAGATCCATATGAATGGATGATGTAACTGGCGGTCATAAGAAGGTTAAAGTACCCAGAGGACCCCATGATGCTGATGGTCGTGTACAAAATATACTGGGAGTAAGTAAGTTCCAGAGGTGGTCAGGACTAAGAACAGACAAGGAAATGGTTAAAAACTCAAAAAGTAGGAAACCTGAGGATTATGGACAGGAAAGGAAAGTAGTGCAGCAGAATAGAAAAAGTACCGATTATTCAAAGTAGACGGCTGTGGGAATGATCGAGAACGAGGCTTGCTTTCCTAGCAATTCGCTATCACATAGGAGATTGATAAGAGCAAGGCACGTTATTGGTATTAATTGCATCATTGTGGAGTCCCATTTGCCCGGGAGTCTTATTACCCCCTGGGGTCTTGTTGCACCCTGTGCTTTAGGCAGCCTCTAGGCCCCAGCACTTGACCTTCAGAGCCTTTTTCAGTGTTGGGCTGCTTGCCATCAGTGAAGTGGAATTAATAGACACTACTGCATAGATGACTGCTTCCCGGACCCAGTACCAAAATCCGTTAACAGATTGATTGTGTATTAAGGAAAAGAGTATGGTCAGGAAGTAAGAGGTGAAGAAGATAAATAAGGTAGCAAGAGACTTCAGGGCGGCAGCGTGAGCTTTCCTGCTGGTGCTGCCGTGGCCGGTGGTGCAATGTTGCATCCGCTGCACATGCTGGGTCAGTGCGGCTATGAGTGCGATGATGGAGGTCAGGAACAGAAGGAAAGGAACACCCAAGGCAAGCACTTTATGAGCACAGATCAAATGATGCCGAATCATCTCCAGTCTCACAATCACAGTGCTGTTCTTTGGTAAATGCCCTGTGGTGATTACCTGGTGCTGGATGAGATTATTAATAATGGAAGGGATGATTGCCAGGCAAGAAATCATCAGACAACCCAGTAACAACCAGGGAACCAACCTCACAATTCTCCACCTCAGCCAGAGGAAGGTGGAGTGGGTGAGTGAAAAGACTTTGACGCAGTAGACAACACTAAGCAAGCCAGTTAACCAGAATATAAGAATATTACTATATTCCCAGATGATGGGAAAGTACCAACATACATGATCTGGGTTAAAATAAGAGCAGAAATTGAACACTATTGATGTCCACTGTACACAGAAGCGACAGACACCCAGGCTGATGAGAATCATGTCCACAGGTGACAACTTTCTGGCCTGCAGCCATTCTCTTCCCAGCACGGCAACAACTAAGCTGCTCTGCACGATAATTATCCAGGACTCGAGCCCGTAGATGATCATGAAGATAAGGAACTGGGAGGGTACCATCCTTCCACTTCAGAGTATCTTCCTGGACAAACACTCAGAACCTCTGCACCAATTTCCAGATAGGGAAGCAGGTCCTGACACCACCACTGTCTGTTGTGAGTTTCCCTCCGGATGAAAATTTTCCCCAGCTCATTTTTAATTTTTCTGTTTTCCTATCCATGAGATTTGCTTGTGCTTTGCTTTCTACTTTGTTATCACATCTGAATGTAGGGAAATGTTGTTTGAATTGGATTCCTGCTCCGGAGGTGATTTGATTATTCCCAGAAAGGCCCCAGGCTGTTTATTTCCCCTTGATCTGTCTAAAGTACACTTAGCTCATTTCTCCATCTTTTCTTTGAGAATATACCTTCACACTTTTAACCTAAAATTTGAGCCATAGGAAAGACAGATCCTTCACCCTCCACTCACGTTCTGGATAACATTTCTATTCTGCTGAGAGCTGTACCAACAACACTAACTCCAGAAGCCCTTTATTCCCAGTTTCCGCAATGGCTGGCAGTGGACGCTAATCCAGGGGGAGGGTAGATAGAAATGAAAATAAAAAGTGTCTCTTCTGATATTCCACCTACACATCATTGGATCCCAGCTATCACAGGCCACCCTCATAACTGCCATTGAATCCCCCAACGCTGAGATATCAAACTGCACATAACCCCTTGGACTCCTTCCGGCAGAGACACAGTATTCAGAGCTACTGTTCTTCCATCAATTCCAATGCCTTGAGCATATTGAGCGTATGCTTTATGTATTTTGAAAATTGTTCTTGTCCTATTAACGTGACCGTTTTCCCCTCCTTTCATGGCTAGGGTCTTTTCCTCACTGATCTGTTGCCCAAGGTGAATTGAAAGAGGATTATTTTACCACTAGTAAAATGTACTGCTTGTAATTATGCAGGGAATACGTCATAGCTATACAAGCAGGTTAGAGAAGGGGCACATTAACTGTTGTCCTCAGTTAAGGAGGACAACAATAGACGCCAAATATTTAATTAGTGGCTCTAGAAATGAGAGGAGAGTTATAATAATTGCTAGTTGGTGAGGAAGACAGAGTGGAATTTGCTCACTCTCTGTATGCTAAACTCAAAGTCTATACGGACTTTTATTCATTTAAGGAAGAGGAAACAGAAGCAAGCCAACACGCATCTTCGGTTTTTTAAACATAAAACAAGAAACTACTGAACTCTTGATGCAAAGGTCAGCCATATCTTAAAAAACTAGGCTAAAAAAAAGAATTAAATATTAAAAAGGGTTTGCTTTGTGTTCTTAATAAAATGCAAGAAACAGGAAATTTAAAAAAAGAAATGATAAAACAATAGTATTCAATTAAAAGATGAATTTTTTTGAGGCATATCCAGGCAAAGGAGGGGAGAATGATGAAATAAGAAATGTTTGTTTGTGAAATATGCAATAATAGCACGAGCATCTGACTCTATGTCCTGGCTGCGCCCAGCGAGTTGCCTCCCATACGTATTGACTCATTCTGAGTCAACTTAGACGGACTGTGATGCTCTAAACCTCTGTCTGAGGGGTTCTTGAAGTGCAGCCACCATTCTGCACCCCTCCTGGTTGGACACCAGCCACAGCAACTTGTCCTGAAATAAGTTTCTGTCCAAAGCAGCCCTTCACTGGCTGGCCTGCAGCGTGAGCGATGGCCTGGTGCTACTCTGGCTTCCCAGGAGCATTTTCTATGTGATAATGGGAAATTAAATAACTCAGATCCTCTTTGTGGGAAAGTTTAAATGTGGGACTTGAGTAGAGAGTCCATAAACTGGTGATTGATGTTCCCCGGGGTTAGGAGTTCCAAGGCTGTTTCATTAGGTGTGCGTATTAATCCCTCCAGGGATTAATGTTAATTCACATCTCTGGGGTGTCTGCCCTGTGCTGGTCCCGACTCTGACTCTGGCTTGCCCTCTTCCAGGGTCCTTCAGCTCACACCCTCGGCCCTTTTCCTTATTAGGCTGGGAATTGCTGCCCACGAACTATCTCTGGTTGGGCAGGTGCTGGCAGGGGACTGAAGTCCAGCGACCTTTTGCAGTGTGCACTTTGTTTGTGCCAGGCTCAGTCATTCTTGCCAGAGTGATGGGAGGCATGCTGGCCCATGCTGGGTCCTCTCTCCACGCCGTCATCTCTCCACTTCTCTTCCTCCCTTTTCAGACATGCAGGAGAGAAGGCCCACCGTTTGTTTCCTAATCTATTGTCCAACTGGGGAAAGGAATGCCAGTTCTCCTTACAGCCATCTAAACCTTCACTGTTAGAGATTTTGCCTTTTCTTCACATCTGGTTTTCCTGAGCAGATTCATAGTCTCCCCTGGAGGAGGAAGACTGTTTTCTCTTATTTGCAAATTTGGTAAAATAATCTATCCAATTTTAAAATTTACTGTTATTAAATATCTTATATAAATTAACATAAAATAAATTAAATATATAATATTCTAGAGACAAAGCTTTTTGATATATATGTGTTCATAGATATCTATTTCATTACAGACATTAAAACAGAAAGATAAAAGAACAGGCAAGTCACCAAAGAGTTAACAATAATAGCCAACAAATTCACAAGGAGTGGCTTAGCCACACTAATAATCAGAAAAAAAAATATGATAGTGAGGAAACACTTTTCATCCTTCACATTACAAGAACAAAATAAAATTGGATAATATCAACTATGAGAGAAGATATGGAAAAAATGCTGGAAGGAGTGTAAATTTGTACAGTTAAACTGGAAAGCAATTTGCTTATTTGTATTTAATAGAAAATTTACAGACTTCATACTCATTCTACTTCTAGGTGAGCATAACATATTGTATAGAAAAATCCTTATCCATATATAACAAAAGGGAAAATTTACGGATGTATTTCAGAGTTGTCCACAATACCGAAAAACTGGAAACTAAATAAATGACTCTCAGTTGAGTAATAGATAAAACGTGGTATCGTCATAGGATGAATTAAGCCACACAGACATTTGTTTGCCTTCCCAAAAGCTAGTTTGCTGCATTTTTCTCCTGCTGGCAGAGCTTTTCTCTTTCTGAAGAAGCTTTAAATGTCAGAGTCTTCCTTTAATGTCTCCTTAGCATGCTTAGCTGGGCATGAGAATCAATTCTGGGCTCTTAGAATAGAGGAGAATCCTGTGGATGCCTTTGAAAAACGTTCCTTTCTAGTAAGAATGGAGAGATTCATGAGGAAAACCTATTTTCTCTTTTGAACCTGTGTTGGATGTTATTCTGTAATATGTGTGATACTGGGAGCTGCTGCAGCCATTTTGTGAGGGGAAAGCAGGGGACATTCCAAAGAAACCAACACAGAGACTGATATTGTTGAATGCTTGTTAATACTGGACTGAACTACCTCTGAAATACTGTGTTTGTGAGCAGAATACACCCTGAGTTCTGGAGTTCCAGAAGTAAAACATAAAGAATGATAATAATGACAACCAAGATTCAGTAAAAACACACAGGTTAACAGAGTAAATGTGTCCACATGGTCACATATAAATCATGTACTCAATCAAATAAAAATATGTAGATTTATAACAACATGGAGAGAAGTCTATTCTGCGAGTTCTAATTTCGAGGAAAGCAGACCAATGTGTGTGGTTGCCCTCAGCAAGGGAAGCAGCCTGGGGAACACGATGGCACTCTACACAGCTGCACGTGGAGAGAGAACGTTAGGGAGGCAGCCCTGGGTATTGGGGAGAGAGGCCAGAGTAAGGTTTGCCAACAAGAGACAGATATGGGCCTTATATCATGTGATTCTGCCAGTCAACTTGAGACATTTTTGAGAATAATACTGACTAATGCAAAGTTGTGTACTTTTGAATTGTAAAGGGAAAAAACTTTACAATTCAAATTGGGACTGAGAAGAATCCAGTCCCAATCAGAGGAGCAGGTGAAAAATGCTTGTGGCCTCAGGAGCACGGATGCAGGAAGCTGAACAAGCAGGGTGTAGGCCGTGTCGGGGAAGCTCTGATTGCTCTACATCCAGAATTGGGATCCCAGTCAAACTCTACTCAGATCTCAAAGGCTCAAGTGATAATTGAGCTACATTTTCAGGTTTCTTTGCTAGAGAAACTGGTAATATCAGGGGTGAATGACAAAATTGCAACTTAAATATTTCTGATTTCTGAGAAACTAGCACAGAGGAGTGGAAGCCAAGCTGACTCAGGCCAGAACGTTTCCTAGAAGTCATCCCAGAGTCAGAAGAAAGCAACCAGGCACTCTGAGACAATGGTATAGGATTAGAGAAAGGCATTGTTTGAGATTGTCAGGTATTTCAGACAAAGCTGGACATACTTAGTCTCAGGGAATTTTTTTTCAAGTTTTATTTCATCTTTAATTGACAAATAATAATTGTATATATTTATGAAATATAAAGTGATATTTTGATTCATGTGTATACTGTGAAATGATCAAGTCAGGCTAATTATAAACTAACATATCCATCTTCTCAAATACTTATCATTTATTTGTGATAAGAACACATAAAATCTGCTTTTCAGCTATTTTGAAATACACAGTACATTATTATTAACTACAGGCACCATGCTGTGTAATAAATCACCAGGTCTGATTACTCCCATCTAACTGAAACTTAGGACCCTTTGACCATTGTCCCTCTGCCGTCCCCATCCACCCTGACCCCTCCCCAGCCTCTAGGACCACCATTCTACTCTCCACTTCTGTGAGCTCAACTTCTTTAGATTTCACAGAGAGGTGAGATCACAGGGCAATTGCTTCCCTCTGCCCAGCTTATTTCACTTAGGAAATGTCCTGTAGGTCCAGCTGCTTCATCAAGAATGACAAAACTTCTTGCTTTCTAAGGCCTGAGTCGGATTCCATTGTATATGTACCATGTATTTTTCATCCACGCCTCTGCTGATGGGAATTTTGGTTGTTTGTGTCACCTGACTATTGTAATAATGTTGTAATGAACACGGTGGCACAGACATCTCTCTCTTTGACATACTGATTTCAGTTCCTTTGGCTAATACCCACAAGTTGG